ACTGCCCCTATTTTTACTGTAGTTACAAAGCCAGAAAGTTGAACAGTGGTTACCCATCACTGTCAATACAAATATTTATGCAAAGAAAGAAAAAGAATTTAAAGCAGCTTTGTGGCTTTGTCAGCCTTTGTTTCCATGTAAAATGTATGGTAAAAAAAAAAGTTTCAGTTATGTGCTTTAAAATTTTTCTTTAACAATAATTGTATTAAAATATTATGTTTTATATCCCTTACATTTTTCATTCTACTGCTTCCCCTTCCTCTTCCTCTCCCAGAGTCATCCCTGATAATGAAGAATTTTTTAAAAGGGGGAAAAAAGTTCACAACCAAACAACGTATCAAAAAAGACTGACATTATATGCAATGTGCCACACCTGTAGTCCCTCACCTCTCTGGGGACCAACTTCATCATCATGAGTTTTTAGCATTCACTTTCAATTATTTCTGTGTTGTTGCATTTTTTATTTATTTTGCTGTAGTACTGTGTCATTTTTCTTGTTCTGCCTCCTTCACTTTGCATCGGTTCGTATATCTTCTCATACTTCTCTGAATTCATTGCTCCTTATGCCACAGTTATAGTTCATTACATTCATGTACCACAGTTTGTTTACCCATTTTCCAATAGGTGAGCACCTACTTTTTTTTCTAGTTCTTTGATCCAGTTCCCAATCAAATGAGATCATATTTGTAAAATGCTTAGCACAGTGCCTGGCACATCATAAGCATTATATAAATGTTTATTCCCTTCTCCCCTCTCTTTGCTACTGTAAAAACTACTGATATATATATTTTGGTGTAGATGGACCTCCTTTTTATTTTTGTCATGGACCTCCTTTGGGTATATGCCTAGAAGCAGAATCCCTGGGTTTGAGGATATGGATATCTTTGTCATTATTGTTGTAAAATTCCAAATTGTTTCCCCAAATGGTTGACCCAATTGACAGCTCTATCAAAACATATTGGTGTACCTGTCCTTCCACACCCTTTCTAACATTAAATATTTCCATCTTTTGTCATCTTTGCCAATTTTTTGTAGAGGAGTTGAAATTTGAGGATGATTTTGATTTGTGTTTCTCTTATTATTAATGACTTAGAGTATTCTTTTATGTTGTTATTAGTTTGCACTTCTTTTGAGAACTGTTTATTCATATCCCTTCAATATTTATCTATTGGGAAATCATTTTTGTTCTTAAATATTTGTTAGTTCTCCATATGTCTTTGATATCAGACCCTTATCTGACATACTTATCCAAAGATTTTTTCCCAGTTCATCTTAGTTGCATTAATTTTGCTCATACAAAAAGCTTTTCAGACTCACATAATCAAAATCATCTAATGTATCTTTTGTAATTTCCTCAAGCTGTTTAGCTTAGTATCTACTTGCCTAGGCCAAGCTGTCAACAATGTATGATCTACTTCTCTTCCCATTTTTTATAGTAGTTATGTGCTTTTTTGAGGTTTAAGTTTATTGCTGTTTCTTAGCTCCCAGGCTCTGGTGATTTGTGGAGTATTCATATGGATTATGATACCAAGCGCTTGGATCCTTGGGAACGAATCATCCCTCCTTTCAAATATAAACGAGATGTGCCATTTTTTGAAATGCTCGTTCCCACAACAGACACTGTACGCTATGGTTATCTAATGGAAAAGCTGCTTGCTGTCAAACATCCCGTTCTACTGACCGGAACCACTGGGGTTGGCAAGGTAAGTGACCTCTATCTCTGAAAAAGCAGCAAGGTCATTTTCCCCAATGCCAGAACAATGTGAGATAATATAGCATGTCTCTAAGGATGTTTGGCTCAATGGGAAAGGATGTTTGATATTTCACACTCTGGGACACTCCTGGAAACTTGATCATTTTTCCTATGTGGTAGAGGCATAACCCAGGCTGCCTGAGGGACAAGGAACTCTGCCATGGGAAGTAGATGTCTAACATTGTTATTAATGAATAATACTGCTCCAAGAGGCAGCATGGTATAGTAGATAGAAAGTCAGCCTCTGAGCCAGGATGACCTGGGTTCAAGTCTTGTCTCTGACACATGCTGACCCTGAGTAAGTCACATAACTTATGCTGGGGTAGGCAAGGAGATGGCACAATGGAAAGAACACTGGACACAGAGTCGGGAAGACCTGAGTTCAAATCCTGCCTCTGATATATACCAGCTGTGTGACCATGGGCAAGTCACTTCACCTCTCTCTACCTCAGTTTCCTCATCTGTAAAATAGGAATAATTATAGCACCTACCTCCCAGGGTTGTTATCAAATGAGATTATATTTGTAAAATACTTAGCACAGTGCCTGGCAATAATAGGTACTAGATAACTGCTATTAATAATAATTATTAATAATAGTAGGTTAATTATATTATTGATAGAGTTATATTAATAATGGGACAAGGAACATATGATTATTAACAAATTAATGGTAGTCTCTAATAATAGATGGTGTTTCTATAGCCCCATTTTATATAAATTATTATTGCTTATTATTGATATGAATATAATATAATTAGTATGAATATATAAGGCAGGTCATTTAACCTTTCAGTGATCCTGGCAGCTCTCTTTACATTGCAGTTGGGTTCTTCACTAGGAAATCCCTACCTTGATGAAATTGCAGGTATAAACAACAACAACAAAGTGGGAGGAATATTAAAAAAATTATTACCCATTAAAATCTATAGTCAAATTAATTTTCCAGCTTATACATCTAATCCAAGGATTACAGTTGCGGAGCTTTAAGGGATCTCAGAGGCCATAATCACTCATAAATCCTTGGAAGAACAGGACTCAATGATTATTTTTAAATCTTTTTAATGTCACTACTTTTTTTTAACCCTATAGAACTGACAGTCTTTTATTCCCCCACCAAGAAAGCCCCAAGAGTTAAGAAACCTTTCAGCATGACCTATCTAGGGTGTCTCAAATATCTTAGTGCTGTTTTAGCACTTTAAAAGGTCACTGAGATTTTTGGGACACTGATGTGTGTTGTTTTATGTTGCACAACCTTACTCTGTACCATCCTAATTTTTTTAAGGGCTGAAGTGTATTTCCATTATGTCCCATCAATTCTTGTCCCTCTCTCTATCCTCAACCTTATCTTTCTTGGTCTGTGTCTGTTGGCGCTGTCCAATTTTTAATACCAACATGGCATGGTGGATAGAACCAGGAAGTCCTAGGCTCACATCTTCCATCTAAACACACACCAACTCTACGACCTTGGCCAAGTCACTTAACCTTCCTGAGCCTCAGTTTCCACATCTATGTGAGGAGTAGGCTCAGTGAGCTCTGTGGTCCCTTTTAGATCTTAAATCCTATACACTTTTACTTTTTCTTATTCATCTTGCTAGCTGATTGTGCTTTCCTTTAGGTGGTGGAGAACTTTGTGATCTATTGTGCCAAATTTTTACAATCTATTCACACCATATTTTATTTTATCTTTTAAAGTCTGTTGTTGCCCGGGGATTACTGAACAGAATACAAGACCAGGCTGGGTACGTTCCTGTCTATCTCAACTTCTCCGCGCAGACATCATCGGCAAGAACGCAAGAGATTATTGAATCGAAACTAGAAAAGAAAAGAAAAAGCATTCTAGGTAAAAAGAGTGGTTTTAGTTGAACTGATGATTTTCCCCCAAATAAAATAGTGATTAAATCAATAGACCATTAAAATAGATGACATAATAAATTAATAGTTGTATAATTTGTTATCTTAGTGTAATGATGATAGCTTAAATTTAAATAGCACTTTAAAGGTTTCCATAGCGCTTTTCCCTGCATCATCTGAGCCTCGTGAGAACCATCTGAGGAAGATATTCTAGGTATTATTGTCCCCAATTTACAGATGAGAAAACTGAGGGTTATGTTTATGATTGTTGATAATAGTTAGCATTTACATTGTGCTTTATGGTTTCTGAAATGACTTACAATCATCACCCCATTTTATCCTCACAACAACCCTGGGAGGTAGATGCTATTATTATCCCCATTTTGCAGATGAAGAAACTGAGGCAGAGAGAGGTTAAATGATATGTCCATAGTCACACAGCCAGTATGTGACTGAGGCAAGATTTGAACCCAGGCCTTTCAGATGCCAAGTCCAGTGCTCTAACCTCTATGCCACCTGTTAAGTGCCTACTGTGTATCAGGCACTTTGCTAAGAACTAGGAATACAGACAAAGACAGTCCCTGCCCTTGTGGAGCTCCCAATCTAATGGGATCTCTGCCTTTACAGAGATTATAGTCTAATAATGGTATAAGACATTAACATAGATAATTATAACACCAAGTATTACAAGCAAAATGTATTTATTTGTTGTCGTTCAGTCATTTCATTGTGTCCAACAATTTGTTAGCCCATTAGAGTTACAACACAAAGTGTGAATTTGGAGGTGGAAGTGAGAGTTGGGGGAGGGTGTTAGTAACCAGGGAAGGCTTCATGGAGGTGGTGTATGAGTTGGGCTCAAGGATAAGTATAAATCCAGCAGGAGAATGGAGGAAAGAGTACATTCCAGACCTATGAACAATGACAGCAAAAATCCTGAGGTGGGAGAATTGAGGGAGAGTATAAGGAGGGGAGTCGTTTGGTGAGGACAGCCTGGGAAAGAAATATGAACCCTGCCTGAAGGAGGCCTTGAGTGCTAGGCAAAGCCTTTTGGCCTTTCCTGAGCAGTAGCAAATGAGGTGACATACAGAAAGTGCCTTGCCCACCTGACGTGCCATAAAAATACTCACTGCTATGATGCTTTATTCTTCTTCAAGGCAATTGGCCTTGGGGTCACCAGGGACTTTGTAGCAGTGGCTTGACATCAGCAATCGCGTGTCTCCATCTGCATCCTGGAACTTTAGACGTGGAAGTCCTGTTCTTCATCTCAAAGTCAACAAGTCCAGCACCACATTCTTCCATCTCTTCCTCTTCCCCCTTCAGTTTCTTGGTCTCTGCCAATGATCTTACTGTTGTCCCAGCTTCCCAGGCGTTAAATTTCAATATCAACTTTGATTTGTTCCTCTCCTTTATCCCCTAAATCTAAGGAGTCACCAAGTCCTGACTATTCTTTATTAGAAAGGTATCTCATTCATGGAGCACCTTCTTTTCCCATGGCCACTACCCTAGTTCAGACCCTCATCACTTCATACCTTTGGGATGAAGGGACTGGGCCCACACGGGGTGCTCTACTTAGAAATCTACATTTCCTAACTACAGTCTCCCTCTCATGTCCATTCTGTGCAGTTTGGTACCACTTCCATCCTGTAGGCCAGTCAACAAGCATTTATTAAGCACCTACTATGTGCCTGGAGTGGTGCTAAATGCTGGGGATACAGAGAAGCAAAAGAGAGTCCCTGCCCTCGAGGAGCTCACAGTCTAATGAGGGAGGTGATGAGTAAACAACTATACAAAAATAAGACAAATACAGGATAAGGCAGGGGTCCAGGGAAGCCTCATAGGGAAAGCACTAAGACTGCAGACAGGAAAAGGAATCTTGCACGTCAGTCCCCTCCTCAAGAACCTATAGTGTCTCTCTTATTATTTACCATATCAAGTCAAAGCTTCTCTACCAGTTTTCAAAGCCTCTGATGATACAATCCCATAATGTAGTGTAGTGAATGCTGAAAATTTAACCCATCTATCATCTCTGTCTAGCTATCTATCCATCCTCTATTTATCTATCATACATCCATTTATCATCTACCTATATTTATATCTATCATCTATCTACCTACCACTTGATAAGTAGATAGATGATAGACATAAATATATCTATAGATATCATCTATTTATCTACCTATCATGTATCTTCCTATCATGTGTCTGTTTGTCTATTTATCTACCTATCCATCCACCCATCTATCCATCAATCCATCCAACTATTCATCCATCCATCCATCTATCTATCCTCTATTTACTTATCAATCATCCATCTATCATCTATCTATATTTATATCTAGCATCTCTCTGTATCTATAGATGTCATCTATTTATCTACCTATCACGTATCTCCTATCATGTCTGTCTGTCTATCCATTCATCCATATCTATCCATCTGTCTATCTCTATCTCTATCTATCATCTATCTATATTTATATCTATCATCTATCCATATCTATAGATGTCATCTATTTATCTACATATCATGTACCTTCCTATCATGCATCTCTCTAAATTTTATATTTTTCTTTCATTCTTTCCTCCCTCATTTCTTTCTTCCTTCCTTTTCTTTCTTTTCCTTCCTTTCTTTCCTTCTTTCCTTCCTTTCTTCTTTTTTCTCTTTCTTTCCTTCCTTTCTTTTTCTTTCTTTCTTCTTTTCCATCTTTCCTTCCTTCCCTATGAAGATATACATTTACTTCAAGGTCCTGACAGTATACAGACTTCTGGTAATAGGGAAAGAGTAGGACAACAGATCAGAGGAGAATTTTCTGTCCTCTCTAAAAATACCATGGTAGTTACCTTCTTCAGTCCTAAGGGCATAGGACTGACCATATGATATCAGTTATGACTTGCAAAGGGTCCACTCCAATAGAATCTTTAATTTGACCCTTTAAGGCAAACCTGAAATTCTAACCCACTTTCATTTGTCTTGCTTTCCAGGAGCACCAGGAAACAAAAGAGTCATAATCTTTGTGGATGACTTGAACATGCCCAAGTTGGACACCTACGGTTCTCAGCCTCCTATCGAATTGCTCCGACAGTTCCTGGATTTTGGTGGATTCTATGACCGAGATAAACTCTTTTGGAAAGAAATACAGGTTATTTTAGACTTTAAACCATTCAGTGAATACTAAATAAGAATGCTTTGTGTCTGTCATTTTTAGTTAAGTTGGGACACAAATTCCCTTCCAATTATTTAACAGGGGTCATTCAATATGGACTTGTTGAATAAACAGCCTGTTCTTATGAGGTGGGAGATTCATGAATCCTTGACAGTATAACCAGGAGGAAACCAGGGGCAACTAGGTGGCACAGTGGATGGAGCACCGGCCTGACTTCAGGAAGACTCACCTTTCTGAGTTTAAATCTGGCCTCAGACACTTTCTAGCTGTGTGACTTCACACACAAGTCACTTCACCCTGTTGGCCTCAGTTTCCTCATCTGTAAAATGAGCTAGAGAAAGAAATGGCAAACCGCTCCACTGCCAAGAAAACCCCAAATGGGGTCATTAAAAGTCGGACACAACTGTAAAACATCCCAATGACAACAACAAATAACATGTGTATATGCGTGTAGCACAGTGAACTGAACATAGTAAGCGCTTAATTGCTTAATTAATGTTTCATTCATTCATTCATGTTCTATGTAGTCATAGCAATTGTCATTGAGTAGGTGATTGTCTCTGCAACCCTCCAAGAGGCTACTTTGCAGGATAACAATAATCCCTTGCCTTTAAAATTCATTTGCATCCATTATGTCATCCTTACAATAACCCTGAGAGGTAGTTGGAATGAATCTTGCTATCTCCATTTTACAGGTAAGAAAGGTATTGCAAATGAGAATAAGAAAGGTGCAAATATGCAATGCAAATAATGCCAGACACACGCAAATAAGAAAGGTGATTGCAAAATGGAAGCTAAGCCAAGTCTAGAACCTGAGTCTTGGCATCCTTAGTTCAGGGCATCTTCTCTCATTAGTTGTACAAGACGATCATGGTCACGAGCGGAGGCTGAGAAGCAATCACTTTCATAAAAGAAGGCAGCAAGCAAACCCTGAGCTGGGCCATTAAGAGTCTGCGGTAGATTCCATTCCCTGCAAAACAGGGAAGCAGCCAGCACAGATCCACTCCACTGCTATTCCAGTTTAATGGGCAGAGGCTTGACCTAACGTAGGGAACTTCAGAGTGAAGAAGCTCTCTCTACCAAATAAAAGTCAGGGTCTTCTGTAACTCATATATATGTGTATATATATATATATATATATGTACACACACACACATATATATGTATATATATAAATGTATGTATATGTATATGTATATATGTATATGTGTGTGTGTGTATGTGTGTGTGTATGTATATATATAGTCAGGGTCTATAACTCAAGAGTGACCCAGAGCGCTGAAAGGTTAAGTGATTTGCCCCGAGCCACACAGCCAGAATGTTTCCAGAGAAGGGACTTGTACCTAGGTTTTTCTAGCTTCAAGGATGCCTCTCTATTTTGCCTAAACATTTTAAAATGTAGAAATTATTTTCATAACTTATCAGCTGTCCAATTAACCAATTATAATATTTGTTAATTTTTCCAATGAATTAAGTACAGATTTCTCCTTTCCCATGTATTTTAAGTTCCATAAAAAAACAAATTCTTACTCAGTTTGTAAGATGAAAACTTCATCTGTGACTACTATATACTTCTAGGATTCTGGAGCCTAAGTGTTATAACAATTCGTTTTTGTTTGAGTGAATCGTTTTGTTTTCTTTCCAGGATGTAACAATCGCATCAGCATGTGCACCTCCAGGAGGTGGTCGCAATCCTGTAACCCCTCGTTTCATTAGACACTTCAGCATGTTGTGCCTCCCAACACCTTCTGAACATATTTTAAAGCACATTTTCCAAGTGAGTATTCATTTCTTTAATTAATTTAACTAAATTAACTTCTAATTAATTCTTTGGATTAATTCTTCTAATTAATTTAGAAGAAAACAATGACCTATATTCTATGTCATCTTATAAAATCTCTAATTATGAGATAGGGACTGGGCCTGTGTTTTCATTGGAACTCCCTGGTGAGGAAATTCCCTGCCCCGATGCACTCAGCACCTCTGTGTCATAGAGTTGCATAGAGCACTGAACAGATAACATATGTCAGAGATGCGAATTAAACCAAGGTCTTCCCAGTTTCAAGTCAGCACTCTACTACTGCAGCAGACTGTCTCTCTATAATTATAGATTATGGAATTGTAAAGCTTAGAGAAACCTTGAAGATCTTCTAGTCTAAGTTCTGGGGCTCACTGTTTCATACTGGCATGCTAGGCTTCCCAGAGGACAGCTGCTATTTCTGTCCCTCTGGGTCCTAGAGGACTCTGAGGAGCCTGTGGGTGATTTTCTGGTATTCTAGCTCATGAACCCCACACTGATGTGCTTTTTCCAGCATTATTAGCTGATATCAGTTAGTCAGAGAGACTTTTAATTAGCTTTTAGTTATGGTTATCTACTGAGGTCATTTTGTAAGAAAAGCTGGTAAATACCATCCTCTTAAAAATTCTGTTACACATTCTCCCACAAGTACATCAGAATCCAACAGAAAGTGGTCTCCACCTTAGAGATCACATGTAGCAAATGGGTAACTCACAGCCCCTCATTGCTGGAAATCCTTTCCTTCCTTTTTGGGGGAATCCCATGAAATTCTTCTTAGGTGCGGTATAACCTTCTTGCAGGGTTTCTTATAGGGTCCTGAGGCTACCTTTCCTCAGAGTGTCTAATTTGTCCTAACTCCCCATGCAGCTACTGATGCTCTTACAGGATCGCTACTACAATGACAGTGAGAAGTCCAAATCCTCTGATGTTTTGAGGTCCACAAGACCCTCCCCTGGTCTAAGTGGGAGAGGGAGAGGTTCTTGTCCTCCCTCCCCGAAGTGATTCCCTGTCAGGGGCTCAGCTGGTTCTGTTCTGCCTTGGATCGCCATTGGAATGCTTGAGTTCTAAACTAGCTTGCTATGTTATATAAGATCCACAGATCACAAACACATTTCTTCAGCAAATCCCAACACATTTCATTCAATGACTAGAAGCATTTTACTCTTCCCTTACTTGATAGAGAAGATTTTTAGCACTTAGTTAAATGCTTTTAATTAATTTAGTCAGATGGCTAGGCCTTGTTCACACCCAGCTGTACCTCTGATTGACTAATTCAGTCAAGAGGTCCAGAGCTTCTGATTATTGAAGGAGGGTTTCCTTATCTCTGACACAGAAATAAGGAAACTGAAGCCAGAGAGCGAAAGACATTGGCCAAGGTCATATGGCTCATATCAGAGCTGGGACTGAAGCCATTGTCTTCTTTCCCAGACCAATGTTCTGTCCACTGTACCTCACTGTCCCTTATTTTCTTTATACAAGATCAATCTTCTCCCTCACCAGGTGGAAACAAAGTGAACACTTGGGTGTCCGGGAATTTATTGGTTAACATATTTTTAAGGGCCTGCTTTGTATACAGCACTATACTAAGCTCTTTAAGGGACACGCAAAAAAAAAAATCCAAAGTATACCAAAAGCCTTGGTGCAGTTTAAGGCTTTTCAAAGCTTCTACCAGGCTCAAACTCATGAGCCAAATGTTAAATTTCACTGTGAACATTTACACTTTGGAAATTGGTGGACAGTACAAATCAAGGTTTGATTTATTGTTTGGTTGATTGTCTAGACTTGAGAAAATGAGGGGGAAATATTAATAATGCAAATTAGACTTAAAAGTATGTCCTACTACACATTTTTTTCAGAGAGCTGGTTGTTAAATATTTACCAGCACATTCCCAAAATAAGGGTGTGAATGCTGAAATAAAGTGATTCTACCAGTTGACCAATATGAAATTCAAGGAGAGAATACTAAAATAACTGAGAATCTTACCCTCTTCTTAAAATCATTGCAATTCTCTGTATATAGACACCAACTAATTGAACAACCTAGTTAAAGCAGGGGTAGCTAGGTGGCGCAGTGGATAGAGCACCGGCCCTGAAGTCAGGATGGACTTGAGTTCAAAACTGGCCTAAGACCAAACATTTGACACTTACTAGCTGTGTGACCCTGGGCAAGTCACTTAACCCCAATTGCCTAAAAAAAAATAATGATAATTAATTTTAAAAATAGTTAAAGCAAACCTTCCTAGAGCAATAGACAAGGAGACAAAAGACATGTCCACAACTTAATTTTTTTTTTTTTTTGCTTAGGCAGTTGGGGTTAGGTGACCTGCCCAGGGTCACACAGCTAGTAAGAGTCAAGTGTTTGGTCTGAGGCCGGATTTGAACTCAGGTCCTCCTGACTTCAGGGTCGGTGCTGTATCCACTGCGCCACCTAGCTGCCCCCACCACTTAAATTTCTGAAAGCATAAGCTTACTCCCATTTAAACACACACAGATATATGGTTTGAACAAAAGCTTCAGAACTCCAAAGGGAAAAATAAACCTTTATTTCCAACTTAACTAAATGAAGACATATACAAAGTAGGCTTTTGCGAACCAGTACCATGAAGACAGCAAAGGGAGAAATTTTGGAAAGCTTATCAGGAATGTTTTAAAACTTTGAAGTTTTCCATTTTACCCTTATAGTTCAGGCTCCACAAGTGTATAGTAAAGTTTGAAGCAGGTTGGCTGAGACCAACATAGGCATCAGAGTAATTTTAATCTTTTTTAATTTTAATTTTAGTTAAAATTCATTTTTTAGAAGGTTCTCATATTCCAAAGCTCAAAGCTAGGGCATGAATAACTTTATCCCTTACTTATTATCCCAATGCTATGCCTGGATCAGATAAGAAGAAAGAAGGTAGTGCAAATTTTTTAAATGTTTTAATTAGAGAGAAAAGGCAGTTTGCCTACTTTTGATTCTATTTGGATATCTGTGTAAAGAGATAAAAATTAAAAGCACAGTAGGTTAATTCATTAGAGAGGAAATCTATAAGTGCCAAGTCATAGTTGAAAAGAGTCACTGTGGAAAATGACGATTTTATAAAAGTCTACTCTTGAAAAATTGTTCTGTGGAAAGGTGATTTTTATAGACCTTTATTCTTTTATCAGAGTTTGAATTTCCTTTTGGTATTTAGGGGGAAATCAGGTTTTGCCTCACAAGCAGTTAAGAAATAAATCACATTTCTTTCATTGGTTCCTCTTTGTTTCTGATTTTAGGCAATCTTGAATGGTTTCTTATATGAGTTTGCTCCAGCCGTAAGGCAGTGTTCAACCAGTATTGTAGAGGCTGCTGTTGAAATTTATAACAGGATGAGCATTGACCTCCTCCCAACACCTGCAAAATCCCATTATGTGTTTAATTTGCGAGATTTATCCAAATGCGTACAAGGTAATGTACCCTCACCTTCTGGGTCAGCACCCTTATGTCATTTCCATCTGGTTTTCAGGTTGCTGCATGGTACAAACAAGATGAGTTTGTAAATGCACATCTGTATGGTAATATTCCTTTACCCTAAAAAGTTCTAGAGCAGAGATTCTTAACCTGGGGTCTGTGAGGTTTTTTTAATTAAATTTTAATGTTTTTGATGATTTCATTTTTCATTATCAAATTAAAACTTGTTGTTTAATTGTTTCAGTCATGTTCGACTCTTCATGAACCCATTTAGGATTTTCTTTGCAAAGATACTGGAGTGGTTTGCCATTCCCTTCTCCAACTCCTTTTATAGATGAGGAAACTAAGAGAAACAGAGTTAAGTGACTTGACCAGGGTCACACAGCTAGTAAGTGTCTGCGACCAAATTTGGACTCAGGAAGATAAGTCTTCCTGACTTCAGACCTGGCACTCTATCTATTGCACCACCCAGCTGCCCCAAATTTTAGTTAAATCATTTTAAATATTATATTTTGATAATATCAAACTGACATATATTTGATAACTTAATATAATTCATTACCTTTCTAATCCCATTTATTTTATTTTAAGCACTTAAAAACATTCTTCTGAGAAGAGTCCATGGACCAGACACTGCAAAAGGGGTCCAGGACACACACACACACACACACACACACACACCATCTTAAGCACCTCTAGTAAAAATAATAAAATTTTGGTAAATTTGGTGTGGAAAAATTATTAAAGTGATACACTGCTTACCCATGGCACAAGATTTTTCTATTCTGTTTAGTAGAGATATTGTTATTCCCATTTTAAAGATGAGAAATTTGAGACTGATGGAAGTGGTTTTCTTAAGGTCCCACAGTACATATTCAAGGCAGCCCTTCAATGCAGGTATCGACTGACTTCAGTCCCAGCACTGTCTCCACTGCTCCACAGAAGCCATCTTGCTTTGTTTCTCTGCTCCCTAAGCATCATCCCTTCTGGGACCTGTCATTTTGGGAAACAGGGCAGCCAAGCCATGCCCCTTGTACTAAAAAGGACCAGAAATGTCCATTGCCTATCTCTTCTCCCATCTATTTTGTCTCTCTGGGAGTCTCCTCTCCTGTGGACTCTGGAATCCAGTGTAGTTCAGGAAATTTCAAATCCACAGGTAATGAACTGTTATCGGTAGGAGGAGGGAAAGAATTTGGAATTGGAAAAAAAAGTCTCTGTGCTTTAAAGAATAAATAAATAAAATTAAAACTTTATAATAAAACCCACAGATGCTGTTTTCTTTTTTTATTATTTTTTTAATTTTTTTTATCAGGTATTCTGCAATGTGATCCAACAGTAGTCAGGGAGGAGATGCAGATATTTAGACTATTCTGCCATGAATGTCAAAGAGTTTTCCATGACCGCCTGATCAACAATGAAGATAAGCAATACTTCCACGCCATGTTAGCAGAAATGGCCAGTAAGCTTATGTGTTTGTTTCACTGATATTTTTATGAGATGAAGCAGAGGGATTTTTTTCCTACTAATATAGGTTATACTTAGATTATATGGTAAAATGCAAAAGCAATGGGAGTAGTTCATGATAAAAATACTTTGTTTCTCTCCTTTCTTCTCCTTTGCGGTTCATGCAATCCACATCTACCAATCAAAAGTCTGCTATCTCTTGTCCACAGACCCGCAGGATAATCCTCTTCCTTCCTCCATGAATTCAGTACCTGGCTCACAATCTTTCTCTCTTCTCTAACTCCCACCATCGCGCTAGAGGGCTTCAACATACATAATACTCCATCAAATGCTCTAACCTCCTAATTCCTCAATGTTTTGTGGTTGTTCGGTCATCTCAGTCATGTCCAACTCTTTGTGTCCAACCCCATTTGGGGTTTTCTTGGCAAAGATACTGGAGTGGTTTGTCATTACCTTCTCTGACTCATTTTACAGAGGGGGAAACTGAGGCAAACAAGGTTAAGTAATTTGCCCAGGATCACACAGCTGGTGAGTTCTGAGGCTGGACTTAAACTCAGCGCTTCCTGACTCCAGGCCCCGCATTCTGTCCACTGCACCGTCTAGCTGCCCTCCTTCCTCAACTTTCTCATTTCTTATGACTTACTCCACTTCACACACACACAAAGATAGTAATACCCTTTATCTTGCTGTCGTCCGTAAACGCACCACTTCCATGTTCACGAACTCTGAAATTCCTTTATCTAATCTAAATCTATTGGATCCATCTGCTTTCTGCTACCAGACCATTCTTTATCTACAGTATGACCCCTGATTCCTTGACCCTTCAGTTCTCTCCCATGCCATCACCCCTGTAACTAGCCTGACTCTCTTCCTTTCCCCATCCTGACCCTTGGTGAACCAGTTCAACTCTACACTGTCCTCTTCTCTTGAGTCCCTTCCCTCCTTTCTGTCCCACCAAGCCTCAGCCTAGGAGGACTCCCTCCAAGAGGACCATCTGCCACCATCACTCCTACAGATATAGATGGAAGGAGAGAATCATGCAACTGGGTTGACTGGGTCCACTATGGATTTCTGTTATATGACTTCAACTGGGACCTCCCTGCTTCTAGACGATGCTTTTATACTTCTCTGGTTAACTCAGCATGGCTGCTCTTCATGCCTTTCATGTCTCCTCAAGCCTCCCATGGCTTCCCCTTATCCCCACCGTCTCAGCTGAGAACCTTGAGACCATTTGCCATGAGCTCCTTCTCCTTTCCTTCTCATCTTACATCTCCCAGATGCCTTCTGCCACGATCTCCTTCTTCACCCCATCTCATGGGAAGAGCTGGCCCCTCTCCTTGCCAAGGCCAACGCTTCTACTTGCCCAAGTGATCCTCTCTGTCCTGTCTCCTCCAGCAGATCAGCCCTCTGTCATCCCTAGTCTCTCACTTGTATTCAATCTCTCCCTTTCCACTGGCTGCTTCCCTACTACCTACAAACATACCCACGTCTCCCCCATCCTCAGACAAACTTCACATGATCTATCCGTCCCCACTCTTGTCCCCTACCTCTCCTATCTTTTGTGGCTAAACTCCTTGCAGATGCCAGCTGCAGGGGTCCCTCCGCTTCCTCTCTTCCCATTCTCTTGACTTTATACAGCCTGGCTCCTGACATCATCATTCAGCCACAACTTCTCTCTCCAAAGCTTCCAGCATTCTCATAATGTCCGAGTCCAAGGGCCTCTTCTCCATCCTCATCCTTCCTGAACTCTCGGTGTCCTTTGATATTGACAATCTCCTTCTCCGTGGTACTCCTCTCTGGGTTTCTGGGACACCTATCTGTCTCCTGGCTCTCCTCTGACCCATCTGACCACTCTTCCTTAGTCTCCTTTGCTGGATCCTCATCTAGGTCATACGCCTCACTAACCATGGGTGTCCCTCAGGGTTCTGTCCTGGGCCTGCTCCCCTTCTCTCTCTATACTACTTCCCTTCATGGTCTCCTCAGTACCCATGAATTCAATGGTCCTCACATCTACTTATCTAGCCTAACCTCTCTTCTGACCTTTATTCTCTCAGTTCCAGTTACCTGATAGACATCTAATGTTCACAAGTGAGACAATGGATAGAGCACCAGGTCTGGAATCAGGGAGATCTGAGTTCAAGTCAACTTCAGACACTTACTAGCTGGGTGGCCCTGGACACCTAACATCTGTTGGCCTCAGTTTCCTCATCTGTATAATGGGAGTAATAATGGCACCTACCCCTCAGAGTTGTAAAGACTAGACGTGACAATATTTGTAAAGTGCTTAGCACAATGCCTGGCACATAGCAGGCACTATACAAATGTCAGCGATTATTAGCTATTATCTCAGACTGGATGTCCTGTAGACACCTTAAACCTATGTGCAAAACCGAGCTCCTTATCATTCCCTTTACATCTTTTCTGCTTCCCACCTGCCCCATTACCATCCATTCTCCCAGTTCCTAGGCTCACAATCTAGGTACCATCCTCAACTCCTCACCTCCTCTGACACCGGCCCCTCCAACATGGCTAATCTGTCGCCAAGGCCTCTTGAGTTCATTTTTGTGCCATCTCTCAAAAATACTCCCTTCTCTCCCCTAACAGCACCCCTCTGGTGCAGACCCTCATCACCTCGCACCTAGACTCTTGCAATAACTGCTGGTGGGTCTGCCTGCCTCCAGGCTCTCTCCACTCCAGTTCATCCCCCATTCAGGGCCAAAGTAATTTTTCTAAAGCATATGTTCAATCTTGTCACCCCCTTCTACTAAACAAACTTCAGTGACTTTCTGTCACTTCTAGGCTCAAATACAAAATTCTCTGTTTGGTATGAAAAACCCTTCATAATCTACCACCCCCACCCACCATCTTTCCAGTCTTCTTATAACATATACTCCTACACATATTCTTCAATCAGTGGCTCTCGCCCTCTTGCTGTTTCACAAACAAGATATTCCATCTCCCAGCTCTGTGAATTTTTGTTTCTGGCTGTCCCCCATGCTTGGAATGCTTTCCTTCCTCATCGAAGTCTCCTGGCTTCTTTCAAGTCCCAGCTTAAATTCCACCTTCTACAGGAAGCCTTTCCCATTCTCTGTTAATTCTAGTGCCTTCCCTCTGTTTCTTCCTATTTCTCCCATCTATAGTTTGTACATGGTTGTTTGCACACTGTCCTTCCCCCCACCCCATTAGATTGTGAGCCCCTCAAGTGCAGCAGCTGTCTTTTGCCTTTCTTTTTATCCCCAGTACCTGGCTCATAGTGACTGCTTACCAAATGTTTCTTGACTATCTGATTTTCCTTGTTAAATGTTTCAGGTTTTATCAGAGAAACATATTTGATTGGTGTCTAAGAACTGACAGTTTGTCTTTTGACTCAAATCTTTTCATCCTTGTAATGGAACCAATGGAAATATCAGAGAAGGGGCAGTGGCGAAGGCTTCAGCATTTAGAGCACTCACTTCATATACCAATGGCTGACATTTATATCACGCTTTTAAGGTTTTCAAAACACTTTACAAACCTTACTTAATTTAATCTTCACAACTATCCTGAGAAATAGGTGCTGTTATTATCTTCATTTTATAGATGAGTATACTGAACCTGAGCGAAGTTAATAACTAGCCCTGGGTCACACAGCTAATAAATGTCGACAGTAAGATTCTGACTTTCTGAGTCTACTTCTAACAATCTATGCACTACACCCCTAATTACTGCTATTCTCTCTCTCTCTCTCTCTCTCTCTCTCTCTCTCTCTCTCTCTCTCTCTCTC